TTTACCAGACACAATAATCCAAATTTATAACAGGGTTTTTGCCTATGATAAAGCCTTCTGCTAAGAAAAAGGAATTAGAGGTTCACTGAGATCCTCAAGTCCGCTAATGTTCAGTAGGATTGGAAAGGCATCCTACTCGCTTATTACTGGCTCTCATGGACATTTACATGAGCCAACTGGATACGCGAATTAGATTTAGATTAGAATGGGACTCCTCTGCCGGCAATTCGTATTTCTACTTCGGTGTCTATTAACGCTGGTCCCAGACAGACATTTTGTCTAGAACAATATGCCTGGGCGCGAATCTGGCTAATGGGTTTTTAACATTTGTTTCCGTTAACATGAGTTAACTGCTTTTTTATTTATAAGGCTTAATTGCTTCTTGTATCTATTCTGAACTGTACACCTGCATCAATTGGTCTAGTACACGTTGCTTTTTCGCTGTTTCGATATATCCAAACGAAAAGCAGAGTTTCTGACCCTTTGGCCGTTTGATACATGTGCAATCTTAGCAAATATGATGTGAATGAAGTGATGTCAAGTTGACGAAAAGGTTGTGTAGTGTACTCATGCAAGCCAATTTGCCGGACCATCTGGTTTGTTGTTGAGCGAACCTTGACTAAAGACCAGCTGGGTATTATCCAGTGTGCATTTGCTGAGTGGCGTGTTGCGTGGTTTGGTGCACTATTCAATCACAAAGTCATACTCTGGTATAATTCTTTGGCACACTACTTTCAGATAAGATAATTGTAGCGTACCATCGTCAGACATATACGATGAACTGAATTTACGTTTCTGTGTAATTGGGATAACATCCAAGTCAGTCTCCGAACTTTCACAACCGAGCCGAAGAAAAAGTGCAATTTAGGTCCTCTAACAAGATGTTTTAGAATTTTAAAACCATGCGTAATGTTTCTTAAATACTTCTGCATAACTGCGTTGCTTTTACGAGAAAGAGATCTCTTCGCAGCAACGTTTCTTTTCTAATGTTCAATGGGCATAATACGCGAAGTAAAGAAAAGCAAGCAGCCCACGGCGTTCTCGAACCTTAACAAATTGTTGACGTTTAGCGCTAAGTTTACAAATGCGGAGACGGAGATTCGATTCATAAAGCAGTGTCTAGAACGCGATCAGTATCCTAAAACGTATTGGAAAATACTTAGATGCTGTCATGTTCGTCCGAAGGCAAAATCCCTGAAACTGCACGCGTTTAACATTCTGGAAGCAATTCATTCACGAGTTCCAGAGTTAGAACGACTTTGTACGCATTATCAACTGTCTTGGAGTGAACTGGATACAGCTGAACGCTCCTCTTTTGAGAGCTACATACACGATGTGTGCAACAAAGCCGAGGAGAGAAAGTACAAGATGCTGCTGAAAAGTCTGGAACCAAAGTTACCTGAATCTAAATTTCCAAAATATCTAGAACGGTACGTTCACAACCTAGTTAACCTAAAGTTAAACAAGTATCAACTTAAAGCTCCCGCACGGGGACCGAAATTTTGTTTGCCGTGGCCTAATAATTGACAGATTCGTGTACAAACGCAGTTCGAAAGTTTAATGTAATAACTAAGTTAGTTGACACCTACGTCTTCCCTTGCGAACGCTTCTTTCAAGTGCACTCTTGTGCACCCTTCTCATCAGTACTTGAAGCACAAGCCGCAACGCTCAAAACTGATCACTAAGGAGCACCGAAAAGCCGTCAAAGAACTGATATCTAATCCCGAACTTTTGTTCTCCCGGCCAGACAAAGGATCGGGTTGGGTATTGATGAACAAATCAGACTACTTGTTGAAGATGCATACTATTTTGCAGGATACAACCAAATTCATGCTTGATCCGATACAAAACGATAGCACAGCAAATGATGAAACTAAACTCACCAAGTTGCTGAAAGAACTCAGGCGCGACAACTATATTGAAGGCTGATTGCTCGAGCGTTTAACTCCATGCGGCTCCCACCCACCCCACTTCTACGGGCTCCCAAAAGTGCACCAGTCTAACGTACCAATGCGTCCGATCATCGACATGTCCGACTCTGCTGTACACGTAGTGCCCAAATAGCTAGTTGACTTACCCGAACCACTACGTAGAGAACTATCGGTCCACACAGTGAGTGATACCTCTGATATTCATAAACAAGTAGGCGACCTGAATGTGAGGGACAAGTTGATGCTCTCTTTCGACGTAGAAGCACTCTTTACGAATGTTCCCTTAACAGAAACTGTTAACTATATTTGTGAATACCTAACCGAAAACAACATTGACATCGGTACTCCGGTCCAACGACTAAAGGAATTACTTCTGCGTTGCACCATTAACAAACAATCCTTGTTCCATGAAAAATACTACCGACAAATAGACGGCGTTGCAGTGGGGTCCCCTTTAGGGGCACTTCTTGCTGATTTTTTCCTCGCAAAATATTGTGCGCTGTCCTATTCGGAACCTTATCGCGTCTCTTAATTTCTATTGACGATACATGGAGAACTCGTTCATTTTAGGCGACCCACAGACTGATCATCTCCACCTACTTGACCAGTTCAACCGTGTGCATCAATCGTTAAAATTCACTTGTGAAATAGAGAACAACGGTGAAATCTCATTTTTGGATGTGTTACTGCGGCGGCGAGTTGCCGTATTGCTTGAGAGGAAAGTATCCCGCAAGTCTATATGAGATGGCTATTGCACGCATTTCCTTAGTTTTGTGCCCATGAAATACAAGAGAAACCTTGTGCTGTGTATTTACTATCGCCCCACGAAAATCTATAGTCCAGTAACACTAGATGCCAAGAAGAATTTTATTCTTACAACGTTACAAAACAAAGGTTATCCAACAACATTTATCCACAAGCATTCTGCTGTTTCTGAGTAACCTAAAGAAATACCAACGATAAAGAAAAGGCACGTCTTCATTTAGGTTCCGTTCAAAGGTGATATCGTATACGAGTTACTGAACATAAGATTGTCCGTCACTGTGAACCGAACATATCCGGCAGAAAGAGTCCATCATCTTGCCGAGACTGTTCCACTTTTCACTAGAAGCCTCAAAGACAGACTTCCTGCTCGTTCCGAATCTTTTGTTGTACATCAATCAGTTCACCTGCGCCTGTGATGCCATGTACCTAAGACGCACGACCAGGCGTCTGTCTAAAAGGATAGCAGAGCACTGTCCCGCCTCTTTACGACACGGTACAGTTAAGAATGCACATAGCCCCGTCCATGAGCATCTGATTAGTATGGGGTGTCATGTTCTCTACGCCGTATCTAAACGCAACCCAAAGGGATTCAGGAAGCGCCTGTTGACTACTTCGGAAACAAGGGCTATTAAGCTGCTGCAACCGGTTATGCAAGCAGAGGACGTTTGTACAAGCGCTCATGCTGCCTTGGCCGGAAAGATTGACGCCGTTCGTACCTAACCATGTCCAGGACTAACTGTGAGCTTTGCCGCCAAACCAATCATTTTTTCTTCATGTTGGCCCTTTAGTGTTTGGGGTGTGAAAGCGCGTGATGTTTACCACCCGATTGCATTTGGTTGATCTATCGATTGGCTCGTTGATGTTCCGTTGAACTCTGACCTAACCAATCACTGCTGCAGCTTTGATATCTTCTGGTATTGTATCAAGTTTTCTCATAATGGTAAATGCTTGGGGAGAATTATCGAAAAGAGATCGCTTCGCAGCAACTCCTCTTTTAAGCAAAGGTATTGCGTTCTTCGAGATAATGAACCGATGTTCCTAAAGTAAGTCAGCAGGAACGGTTGCATTAAAACCGACACGTTTTATAAACAGTCCTAATGCATAATGAATGAAGCTTACTTCTCACTCAATTGTTTATTTTGTCGGGCTTTTCCATTGGCAAGTTAAAGAATTTTAGAGTGATATTCATAAATAATTCTATTACAATTTTATTGAAGTCTGAGTTTAGCCCTCTGCTGTTCGCCAAAATGTCTCTCTGAAGGTGTAATAATCATTACTGTGCGTTATCACCAATTTGAGATAACAAGATGTAAGTATAAGAAAAGCAAATATATGCTGTCAAACGTCGCAGTTGCGCGGCATCTTCAGCTTAATTGCGAAGCCTAGCCAATAGTTTTCTCATCCAAGATGTGGGATTAATTTATAACGGTGTTCAGTTTCTGCAGGTGAAGTACAGTGTTTTGGCAGAAACTCGTTAATCTACTGAAAATTTCGCATACATCCTGGAGTGTTGTCCTACTTGAGACATCAGTGCGATCATTAGCGTTCACAAAAATGCTGGACGTAGGCAATTACTTGACTGTCTTAGGTTTATAGATGAATCTGTACCCCGTGCCATAAATGGAAGAAGACAACCCGCACACTTGCCTAGTATGCAGCCAAGAGGGTACATGGTTAAGTAGTCACGGTTCTTGGAATTGGCTGTTACGCGTTCACATACAGTTTGGCCATCGCCCTCCCTGGATCGGTAGCTGTAGCCTGGTTTTACTCCCATCTATAAGGAGGCAAATCGGTATGAGCTAATCAATCTGAAATCATTGTGCCTACCCACTAGCGGGCACTTCTATTTACATTAGTCAATATTTTGCAAAGTGCTGAGTTGCACAAACTGTTTACCATGTACTGTAATGGTAAGTAAGGTACAGGGGTAGTCTAAGGAGATTTTGTGCCGTTTCAGTTATGTGAACTTACAAGCTCAGAAGCTGCGGTGAGAAACACTCTAGCTGTCTGGTTACTTATGTTTGTATCGTAGTGCTGCGCACCGTAGTTGAGCGATGAAGACATTTCATACATCCGGTAGATAAAACGAAGTAAGGCGACTTTGTTTTCCATAACCAACGGTGTCACCGCCAGTAGTTAGGGTGGCCTAAATGTGCGTTCACGGTTGCCAACCTCATCTCTAGTTAAAAGAAGGACGAAGTTAATACCTTCTTTACATCCACAAATACTGTTTCATAGAGTATCTCCCATAATACATATTGGCGTTATTTCTTTCATCGGCCCTCCTTCACTCAATTCATCTAGTTGAAAAGCCTAAGGAACCTCTTTGCTTGCGTACAGAGGATGCGCTGAGAGCAAACGCAGAATATCTTTTCCCACAGTATTCGGAATCACAGCAAGCAGTACAATATGCTGGTAAGTGTCCAGAATAGAAGAGATGCGTCATTCTGCATGCTTCACTTAAGCTTAAACGGCCCGTCTCAATTTTAATTGCTGTTGAACTAAAAATAACAGCTCTATCAGGCTGGAAACAATAAGTATTTTAAATTTATTGTCGACCTTGCAGTTTGCTAATAAGTTATAAATGACGACGTTAAAGTTTATCCACCCGGGGACAGTGATGCAAAACACTACTGGATAGCCGACCACTTCAACCATAAGTGGTCGGAAATCGTTCTTTCAAACGGCGCGGGTGCTTAGAATGATAACTAGCAACAACGAGGTGCGACGTTTTAACATCGGGACAGGACTGATCACATGACTTGAATTAAATGATGCTGAAGTTGAAACCCATAAATGGGTCAAATCACATTTGCCAGTGAGTTGTCACCAGATGAGCCCAACTGCAGGAATGACAATACTTTACTGGAATCCGGTCAAATGAACAGCTGTAATAGTCAAAAGATTTGATCATTTTGTTACCGCAGCACCTTACAATATCTCCTTAGTGCTGTGTGCCGACGAATTATATCCCTCATGCAATTAAGATGTCCTAGAAACTAGTAAGCTGAGTAATGACGTCTATCTATGGTTCCGTCTTTGTCAGTGTTTTCGCACTTAATTAAGAGTTGAAATATGGACTAAGGACCTTTTCGGATAGCCACTATTTAAGAAGTTGCATTCTTGAACAGCTCAAGTGTTGTTACATCTCTTGATGCATCGAACATCGCAATGAACATGTTTAAATTAAGGGTGCATTTATGCACTCTCTACACTCACTTTCAACAGTAACTAAAGTTCTGTTCGCGTAGTCGAGACGTTTCTGATGATGTGCTCTCCAAAACTATGGCAAATGGCAATGCGTTCCACTCCGATATTACGAGACAATGTTAGCTATGCACCCACGAACCCGCATTTTTAAAGGTAGTTGGTATACGGGCTGCTTTTTCCAACTAAAGTTATGAAACAACTAATGATGAAATGAATTCCGAACGAAATTAGCAGCATTCATAAAAACCCATAGGTTGTCTTGTGGCTCGCAGAGGCTTTCGACTAAATAGTTCTAACTATTCCAGCGAAGATGATCATCAGCACAAATTTGCAAATCTGGAAATAGAAATTTTGTTGAATAAATTAGATCTTTTCAAAATAAAATAAGTCCAGATTGTGCTCAATTCTTTAGTTTATTAGTTCAGGTATCTTGTTTATTGGCACAACCAACTGAGAACATGTCTCCTGTTATCCCGTACTATTGTCCCCGGGCACAAAATCATTACAGCAACCAACCATGGAAGCAGATATCTTAAACATATGATACACAGTACACCTCTAATCGTAAGTGTATCTATTGGTAGGTGAGGCTATTTTTCATCCCATCAGAAGTATGTAATAATATGTTAAGCGTAAAATATCGTGGTAAAGTCCGCAGTATCTGCACCCGAAAGCCCAAACCAAATCTTGACAATTCGCATAGCTGGAGAAACGTTTGCAAACAGGTATATTGCTCAATGATCGCATTAGCGTATGTATTCAAGTTACCTGTAAAATTCTGCAGCGGAAGCATAATTATACTTGTAAAAGGGGAGCAAAGGAAGTAAAAATTCCTCCGTTTAACTCAACCTCACTAATCACAAGAACCAAACCAACGGAAGCGGCAATGTTTTATAAACCAACAGGCTCACATGACAATCCAGAGGAGCGATAATCTTCCGCCGAAAAAAGAGCAAGGTGCAGTAAGGTTAAGGTAAAGTGAAAATGAATGGGGGACAAACATTATCAATTTATCTCTACCATTCCTCGGCCAAGCTGTCCCCTTGGACAACAGAATTAATCTGAACGACAAAGGAGTCACACTGAGAGGTATACAAGATGAGTCTGTGCTCAATTGCTTTGCGTGCACCACTCACTTGTGCAGGTGTGTAGGTGTGCGTGTATAGACAGGCGCCTTCAGCCAAAAGGACCACAGACGCACTAAGTCATAGGGATGCAGGTTGGACCCTTCAGCTCCTACCAGATACAGTGTCGGTGGCCGATGCACCATGTGGGCCTTTGTTTCTGTCCAAGGACGTGAGAAGGGATTTGAACGACGATTGGGTTGGTATAACGAACCACAACCAAATACGTTTGTCGTGTGGTTTTGAACGTGCAGTTCATCTAAACGCAATGGTTGGCTTGGATGTTCGGCACTCGAGGAAGATGAAGAACGTCATACTAAAAGTGTGCGAGGAAGGGGACGATTGGAAGCATATCTTTTGCACACACAAGGTGAACGTGAATGCTTGTCGCAACCGGATACGGGCTAACGAATTGACGGTACCGGTGGGGCAGCGCGTCGGAGTGCCTTGGATGAGCACCCGGGAGAAAGCCACGTCGACTTTCTGATGGAGTGGGTTTTGGCGGAGCCTACCGTTACCCTTAAACTCCTTCGTTTGCTGTTAAAGGCGGAGTTCGAACTTGCAGAAGTACCAGCACTGTCACACGAAACTTGGATGGTAGATTGATAACAATGAAAAACTGCACACCATTCCGGAATCCATGAACATGCTGGAGAACAAAGTGACGCAGATCATTCGTTTTGCAGCTCATGGATTACGAGGTAGAAGGAAGGCAACCGGTGTGGATTGATGAGATCAACTTCAACTTATTTTGCTCCCGCACTCGTGGGTGCTCACTACGTGGTAGTCGAGTGCAGTGTCCAGTGGCGAACAGCCGGGGACCGAATGTTCATCTTGTCGGCTTCATGACAAACAACGGCTTGAGAGTGTGTTCAGTTCTGAGAGGAAGTTACAACAAGCAAGGGTGTGCTCAGTGGATGCGACAAGTGCTTGATACCAACGGAGCAGAGTTCGTGGAATAGTGTCTTTTGATTTGTGCCAACGCGCACTGTCACACGCACTGGATAATTTGTCCCTTATATTTGGTGTCAACATAAGACGTTGACATAAATGCAGTCCAATACCATGTGCCGCCCATGGACGGTCCGCTTTTGAGGTCCCATACTGCACCTCTGCAAACGAAACAACTAAATGTATTCAAAGCGGATTAGTCATCACTTCGTCTACATAATGCAAACCCCCTTCAGTATGCACGGTCACGTGTTGTGAGTCCATGAACGACAACATAGCTCAATCATCGATAGTTGATCATCCAAACTCAACCTGAGTGCACTGCAAAACAAACCGTTTACACCGGATCTGCATCATTAGGTTAACAACGATGTAGATGAAGTTCATGATGTAAAGTGCTTGGTTGAATGTGCCAGTAAACCATGCAAAATTTTAGCCCATAGCAATTAAAGACGTAACGAAAACGCTCATTTTCCCAAGAACTACACTGGAACTGAGTTTTAACAGGTCGTTCGCCTAGTGTAATGTGTCATGTCGAGAGTGCCCAGGGCTTCCGTATCCGGGTGTACATTGTGTCGTCAAAGACCTAGGGGGTTGAAAGGCGAAAAAGATATTTTGTAGGTGGCTGGACAGTCTTACATCAACCACCTATTATGGGTCGGAGGTGGATAGAGAGTGCGCGTGATTTACATCTCGTGGTTAGCTGCCACAGTTGGTGATGGAGGACGGAGCCTGAGGTAGGTGGATGGATGACTATATATGGTTGGCGGCATCAGGTTTCGGATTTGCCTGTCACTGTGGCAAGCCACAGGACGTCTGTGCCTACAGAGGGACCATGGATGGCTTGCACTGCACCACCCACAGCTTCAGCCACACACCACATATCCAGTGTAAACCCGAAGGAATAAGACCGGGAGGCATGTGGATGGGAGCCACGTTTCATCAACGGAGCCGGCCCACACTCCTTCACAGGTAAATATAAGCACGCTGTATTTGGGGAATCAAGCGCACACAAGGCGGTGGCTGGACCGTAGTCCGCTCCACACTGAGTGCATGGAACCGCTCTTTGATCTTAACACGGCCACAAGGACGTGCACCCTGTCCCCTCCAGCAACGACCAACTGTCTCCTGGAGACAGTATGGACGAGGTAGTGGGTAATAGACAGGTAGGCACCTTGTCAACATGCACATCAAGCGCAGCCTCACCGGGGATATCAAGCAACAGCCAATCACTTGAGAGAAAGATAACAGAGATAATAACTCGAGTAATGCATAAGGAAAGGGTAACATATATCTTAAAGTAAAGTGCACCTGAAGTAAATTGTTTACAGAAGAATGCGAGATAATTTCACGAGGTCAGAAAGTATGCTTTACGGAAATGCCACGAACATAAAAATGTTTCGAAAAGGATTAGAATTGGCTTAAGTGACGTGTGCAAGTTTATAGACAGGTAGACAGGTAGACATTTATATGAGAAAGCAAAGCATTGGGACAAAATTAAGAACCCCCCACCTGAAATAAACAGACTTAGCACGCAAGCAAACGGTGACATAAATCTTAAATTAGTGACCAAATGAAATAAGAGGTTTATAAAAGGATACGTTTACAAAAGAATACGAAGTAAGTTCACGAGGTCAGGAGGTTTATTTTACGGAAATGCTACAAACAAGAAAATGTTATCGAAATAACTACAAGTGGCTTAAGCGACGTGTGCAAGTGAATAGAAGCGAGTATAACTAAACATTTATATGGGAAAGAAAAGCACTAGGGCAAAATTGCGAACTCACCACTGAAATAAATAGACTTAGCATGCAAGCACGCAGTTAGTAACTCGAATGCAGCGTACCTACAAACGCTGCGCCGGTTCTGCCTACGTTCTCTGCAGAACCCGTCGTTGTTTCGGTAGTAGTCCCGAGTGGCCTCGCTCATGGCTCACTAGGTCTGCCTGACTCAGGCACTCACGACCGCATGTGCTACAGCATCATGCACTCGATATCGATGGAATACAATCCATCGTTGCTTGCCGTTTCCGCACTTGCCGCTTCTTCGCTGCATGCATGAGGTCTTTCTCCTGCACTTCAGCAACTGGCTTCGTGATGAGATCGCGCCATACGCGCCGATCAACCGCTT